TATAAACAGCGTGTCGGCCAGAAGTGCTCTCAGTCAGGCTTTGGAACTCGGCGCATACACTAGACGCTCCGCATTATAAGGCGTCCTGTCCATTTTGGAGAAAATTTAAGACTTTTAATGGCGCCTTATAGTCGTGAAAATACGGTACTTGCGCATGTGCTCTGCTTATACACACTCCATAGGAATATCAGTGCGGCAGCGGATATAAGTGACGCTAATGCTAACCCCTTATCATGGCGAAACAAGCGGGCAGTAAATGCGATATGTTGACTCCCCAAACCAAAGTAAAAATGAACTGCGTTTTTTTTTTTTTTTTAGGTTGGAATGGCTGTAGGAGTATGTGCATTTTTTTTTCTAATTTCATTGGGACAGTGCACATTAAAATCAACAAATTAAATAGAAGAACAAGCGGTGAAACTGGGTGAGATCTTTTCTTTTTCGAGTGAGAAAGGTCTGCTCTGCAAAACATACAGCGAAGCTAAAGTTGTAAGCAAATGTTCCATTGGAAAATTCACTCATTTCCTCATTTGTGAATACAGTACACAACAAAGGAATAAATAAACACTTCTGAGACAGTCCGGTCTCCTACATTTTACTGACATCTGATGGTTCTTTTGGAGCTACGCTAAAGGAAATGCCAAAATTAATTCTGTAGGGGGGCGATAGAATTTATTTTGTGATTTCGATAGATTTTCTGTTTGTGATGCATTATTTTCAATTTTCGTAGTTTCATTGAAAGAATTGTTAATTTACGTTTTTCAGAGGCGGTCATGAGCGCCTCTCGAGGAGAAAGGAAGGAGAGTAGCTCCATCTAGTGGATGCATTGTAGATTGCACCTTATAATCCAGTGTGTCCAATATATGAAAACAATTACAAAATAGGCAATTCATTGAAGGTGCACTTCATAATCCAGTGCGCCTTTAGTGCGGAAAATACGGTAGTACAAATGCTAGTGTGTGGCCACAGCGAACACTTCTGCTGTTCGTCACAGTGGTCCTCGGTGCGCCTCAGGAGCTTGTCTGTTTGCCCAGACATGAAAAATTAGAGGGAACGTTGGTTGTCAGTGTCTTCATTTTGTTTTGTGGGGCATGATGAAAATTTGGGATGATGCTATCCTTTTCTAACATAAAAATGTGAAGTGAGTTGCTGATTTCATATTTTTATCCTGAAAACAAAGTATGGTGCAATACTTGTGGAGCGTGTAACTATGAAACCTGCATTGGTACCTTACACACAGGACACCGGACTGGGAAAAAGTTGGGATCTTTTCAAATGATCAGTGTGAAAGAGTTTCCAAGCTAACGTACCATCGAGTGAGAGTCCGGGACATAGATTGTGTTGGATAATCTGATGAAGGTCAGCACGGTCATTGCTTTGTGGACACCAGATTTCAGTGAAGCGGTTTCTGAGGGCAGGAGAAAGCTGTCCAAGTAGAAAAGCACAAAATGATATTTTAGCACTATATGCAGTAGGTCGAGACATAAAATTTTATATAAAATAACGGCATAGCGGGGATCAAGGTTAAATTAATTTCTGCACACATACGTATTCAAACACACACACTCACGCACACGCAGAATTGCAGTTTTTACCTCTTTTTTTCCAAAGTCTCCTCCTGGGTTCATAGTGGCAACCAGACGGAAATCCTCAGCAGCTTTGATCAGTTCCACATCATTGTCATCACCACTGCCTTTTTCTGCCAGGACAAGTGACTTCTCCATCTCTAAAACACTGACAATAGAAAGAGACACTTTTGGGATTGACCTCAATGTAGAAAAATACAGATAAAACTTTATGCTCCTTTTAAAATCCGTCCAGGTGAAAGACAGAACTTGTATTAAATGAATTGTTTGCTGTCCTCACCCATCTCTCCTCTCTTTCAACAGATATAATTATCCTGGGGGACTTCAATATACACATGGACAATACTGCCCTTCCTCTAACCATGGACTTCACTTCTTGACAGTTTTGGTTTCCATCAGTTTGTAGACTTTGCCACATACATTAAAGGTCACACCCTGGATCTAATTTGCTGCTCTGGTCTTACCCCCTCCAACTGTACTGCTGATGAACTTCCTATAACGGACGACTTCCTCATTTCATTTAACATTACCCTCCAGCTCTCTATCTCCAAATCACCCCGGATCATCTCTTAGCGTAATATTAAAGACATGAACATTGACTCTCTCACTTCATGGATCGCCACCCTGACTCCGGACGCAGATTCCTCTCCTGATGACTTGGTTTCCCGATACAACTCTTTTGTCACCAACATCCTCAATACGCTTACTCCTGTCAAGTCCCGCTCTGTCTTTTTTACTCGGTCTGCCCCCTGGTTCACCCCTCATCTCCGTTCCATGAAATCCAAAACTTGGCAGCTCGAAAGACTACAGAAAAACTGGTCTCACTGTTCACAAGGACATCTACACAGCTCAACTATCCGTTTACAAGAACTCCATCTCTCAAGCTAAATCACAATACTACTCTTGACTCATCTGCTCTCATACTGGAAATACTAAGACTCTCTTTTCTCTCTGGAACAAAATCATTCAACCCCCTGTCTCCCTACCCCTCCACTTTTATTCCTCTGACACCTGCAACGCTATGCTCCTATTTTTCAGTGAAAAAGTCAATAAAATCCACAAGCACCTGGGCTCCTCTGTACCCTTCCCTCCTCCGACTTGCCTACCCTTGTCAACTGTGACCCTCTTTTGAACTCCCCCATCCCTCAATAATCTCAGACCTCATTATCACATCCAAGACTTCTTCCTGTCAACTAGATCCCCTCCCCACAGTCCTGGTCAAATCCTGCTTACCCTCTCTGTTTCCTTTCATTTCAGTCATTATTCATTCTTCATTGTCCACTGTAATTGTTCCTGTCCCTTTCAAAACTGCAGCTGTCACTCCAATACTGAAAAAACCTGGTTCAGATCCCAATGATTTCAATCCTGTCACTCCAACACTGAAAAAAACCTGGTTCAGATCCCAATGATTTCAATTAGACGTAGAAAAAAAAGTAGTGTGTTTCTAGTACAGTGAAACTCCTCTACGACGAAATCATGTTTGCAGCAACAAATTTTTCACAACTGGGGGTTTTTCACTGTAGCAAATTTGATCTCAGATGTAAACACACACACACACACACACACACCCACACACACAAACGAATGTGTAGACACACGCAGAAACGTATGTGTACTCTATTTTTATTCCAATAGTGCATAAGTATGAGCACACACTTATTTGACACTTCATATTGTCAGTGTAGAAAGAAAAAAAGGGAAAGAAATTGCGAAATTTACGATCAGCATTCACTTTCACTTACATCAATTTCTTGGATAATGTCTTATTTTGCTTGCTCAGTCTTTCATTTTGATCACTTTTACTCTCTCTTCCGGCATCAGAGCTCTTCTTGTCTAAGCTGCTTGACATCCAAATGTCCGTTTTGTAGCCATTTTAGCAACGCAACATCCATCCTCGTCTGAATCTAACAATAACAAATACTTCCTGGCATGCAATGAACTTTTAAGCCACCCACGGGATGCTTCGGAGTCCTCGATGGCCATAGTTAGCTCTCGAAGGCTAAAAACCTTACGCTAACTGGAGCGCTTCATTAGCGTTTTTTCATTGGTTGCTTAACAATGGCAAACGTGCCACTATTTCAGTTGGAAGACATTTTATATCAACAGCACTCATAGAATTAATTTAGCATCACCGGAGGGATCGAGGGTAACAGGCATTCAATGTTGTTTTTTTGGCCTTGCGGCTTACATGCAGAGATTTCTCCAGGTTTTTCAGAATCTTTTGATGATTTTACGGACCGAAGATGAAATCCAAATATTCAATTGTACGTTCAGAGCTTTTCAAACCGTTGGACTACTTGCTCGCGCATTTGTTCACAAAGTGATGAAACTCACCCAATCCTTTCTTGTGAACAGCCGAGGCTTTCAGGGATGCTTATTTTTATTTTTTTGGAATACTCAATCATGAAATTCTTTTGTTTCCAATTAACCTGTTCACAAAACAAATGTTTCTGGAGCATTCATCAACTTTTCCAGTCGTTTGTTGCCCCTGACCCAGCTTTTTTGGACCTTATTGCAGGCTTCAAACTCAAAATGTGACATCCATTCCATCCATCCATGATCCGTTTGGAAGAAAAAAACAAAAACAACGAAAAACAATCCCATTCCCATTATTTATATTGTCTTTGTAGTGTATTCAGTTGAAAAAAAGAATTCCATTTCAGTTTTATTTACGTTTCATACACCATCCCAACTTCATGACAATTGGCACAAAACACAGCAAAAATGTACACTCAGTGTTTGTTGGACTGTGTGTTTTTTATGTACCTGTTTAGTCTCTCAAGAACGGAGTCATCTGCCAAGGAGATCTCATCCATGAGGAACACCCCACCGTTTTTCATGGCCAAAACCAAGGGCCCATCATGCCACTGAAAGAGCTTGCATTCATCAGCGTCAGCCTGCAACCATACACGAGGTTAGTTATTTAGCCATTTCCCATCAATTTTATGTCTTCATGTACCCATGAAGTAATAATCTGCACATTGATGACACTAAATAATGCAATCACGGAGGGACATGCAGGTTTGAGAATAGGTAGTTCTTCCTGGAAAGGAGGACAATATTTAGAAAAAATTGTCCCGTGTATAAGCTTGGTCAGAAACTTTAATCATGGATGGTCATTTGGAAGCAATGCAAACCACCTATAACCTCAACAAATGTTTTTCTGCTGCTCAAATATGACTGTAATTGCTAAAGACCATTTTCCGATCCGCTTATCGTCACAAGGATCGCGGGGGGTGCTGGAGCCTATCCCACCCGTCTTCGGGCAGCAAGCAGGGGACACCCTGAACCGGTTGCCAGCCAATCGCAGATAATTGCTAAACTTTTTATCTAGAAACATACCCGATTGGAATGGAGGAAGATTTTCTACGGCAAAGAGGCATTTTGGTTTCATTTTCGATTGAAGTAAAATTTTGTAATGAAAAGAAACGTGACAAGAGGAATTTTAATTGCTGCCCGAGCGTTGAAATGCTCACATTTTACGATTATCCCCCTCCATTGCAATTAATTCGTATTTCAAAAATTACAGTACCAAACTAGTGTGCCACCATCGAGCGGTCAACAGTGGAATTGGACCCATGTTAAATGGGAAGCAGAACAAAATTGTCGCAAACTGATCCAAAAAAAAAAACATCTGAGAAATAGTGACGCCACTTCTCGGACACCTGGTGCCATAGCGCCTGACGTTGAAGCTAACCTTAGGAAGCTGGCACACAATAGGCCTAGACAACAGCGGAAGGCTAATAACATTAGCTACTTAGATATAGTTATACACTTCGGCTCCAACAACACTAGGATGAGACAATCAGAGATCACAAAGAACACGTGATAGCAGGCTTTTGATCTCGCCAGAAAGATGAGTCGACATCGAGGAATTGTTTCTGGCCCCTTACACCCGAGAGGCAATGGTGAGAGGTTTAGCAGATTACTCGTTAGTTGGCTAGCTTTTGTGGCGAACAGGGACTGCGGTTTGTACATAAATGGCCATCTTTCTGAGACCGACCCGACCTGCTGTTGGATGGCCTTCGACCTAACCGGGATGGCACCATCACTCTTTCTAGTTTTACTGTTTGAGCATTCAATGACAATCCACATCAGAGCAGGGCGTATTACAGGTCATTAGCGAGCCTGTAAGAACAGGTGTGGAGTCTGTAAGGCTAAAGCGAGCTTGCGCTATGCTAGACTTGACGTAGCTTTCTACGTCGATTTGAGCTTCACACTCAACATACATTACCTATGCTGCATTGCACACTGAAATGTTTTCTACTGAGGTGGTGCTACAAGACAATTTTTAATAGTTCAACACATATGGGGTTTGTTTTGTTTGAAAATAAACCAGCAAGCCAAATAAGCTACGAGGGAAAAATAGTTCTGTTTTTATCTATAAGTTCAAAAATTAACTGTGCATCAGTACCTGAGAGGAATGTCGGACAGGTCGCAACCCTCCCAGAAAGTCTGATGTTTCCATGTGAAGGTGGCAGTTGACAGAAAAAAGCTTCTTCCCAGTCACAGCAGCATACAACTGGCAGATTGTAGTCTTTCCACACCTGAAAAAGTTGTGGGGGAGCATGCGAGTGTGTGGGAGGCAGAGGGGATGGGGATAGAAGGAGACATGAGCATGACTTGTGCAATCATAGTTTCACCTCACCTCACAAATCAGGCAAGTCACGAACAAATCAGTTGAGGAATGAGATTTTTAAATCAAATTTTGGTTCAGGTCAAAATGCTTCAGTTTTCGAAAAGTCATTACATTCACATGGAAAGCTTCAATGATCACTCCAGGTATGATGTATTTCATGGAAGGGGAGTAAATCTGTTTTTTTACTCGAATTTTGCCCTTCATATGGCTTCCATTTTTTCCCATCCACCCATCAATTATCTGAACCGTTTACCCTATGAGTATTGCAAGCATGCTGGATTGTATCTCGGCCATCTTCGGACAGTAGTTTTTATTTTTATTTTTTTCAATTTCAAATTATTTAAAAATATTTGTTTGGCCCTGTGTACATCTTTTTTTTCCTCCCCAAGATGTCGCCCGAGTGGGCAGCTGTCGCCAAGTGCTCTTCAAGAGCCTTGCTTTTTTTGTTGTTATTTTTGTCTTTTTGTTTTGTCACATGGTGTTTGTTATTACGTCGTGTGGGACTGATGTGGATTGTTTTCAGCGTTTTTTGGCCACGACATTCGTCAAAAGAGAAGAATCTGTGCTTGGTGGTTGCGCCTTCTCGGCAGCACGCATGTACCAGCACTGATTTTGACTGTGAGGAATGTCGGCGCCATTTGACTGTCGGTGCTGGACAGCCCCGGGCAGCCTGTGTTTTTTGCGCCTGTAATGGGCAGCATCTGTCACAGCCCCGTTTTGTTCAGCGGAGATGCCGGCGCTGTTGGAAAGTCTGCGTTGGTGCAGCTGGATGGATGGCCGAGGTTGAAGAGAGAGGAACTGAGAGTATTTGGAACTGAGAGTTGCCACTTGGAATTGAAGCGAACTGACATGGGACAGGAGAAGTGAACCAATCTCTTTTTTTCGTCAATGGATGCTACAGCTTCTTGTTTACTTTGAAACTTAGCTTGTAGCCGATGTGTGCACATTTTGAGCAACACGTCTCTGATCCACTGGTGAAAGGACATTTTGATTCTCTCCCTTGTGAGGATAAAGGGGATCGGAAAATGTATGGATGGATGGACAAGTTAATTCATAGTCATAGTCAAATGCAGTAACGGGCGGTGAGTTTTGGACCTGTGCTTTCAGTGGGTCCAGTCCACCTCTTAATAACGCCATAACGTCACAATATGTTTAAAAAAAACAAACAAAAAAAAAAACAATATAATGAAGAACATGTTACTAAACTGTTCCTAACAACACATTTGCAGATTCACAGACGATTAGACGATTGTCTGTCTCGACTCCCTTCCAAGCACTCTCACCCGCACGCATTGAAAAGAAAGAGGCCGATGTGTGGCATTAAGGAGCATTGCACATATTTGAGGAAATTACGGGAAAAAAAAACTGTTACCTTTATCTTCAATACATCACCTCAAGAACTCAACAGTACAATATAGTACCTCACAATAAATTTTTATCGAGATGAAACTTAATAACTTCGCATTCACCAGCGATGCTAATGCAGAAGCCCCTACCTGTCTGTGTACGCTAAATTGCCGACTCACACATAACTACTCTGTAATTGTCTTTTATTAGAGAGATGCACACCCTCGTTTGAATGCTTGGAAACACACAAAATGTCAAGGAAGGCAGATGTGCAACACCTTACCCAGTGTCCCCGACGAGCAGCACAGACTCGCCAAATCGAAGTGATCGTCCAACCAACACAGCTAGCCTCCTCATGCTGTGTGTCCATACCACATGGTGAAAATCCTTTGGAACTCCAGCAATGCTATCAACAAAGGGATCTGTCCACAGGATGGACAGTTGAATAAAGAATATGGCCTGAAGCGGCACGACTGATGCTTTCTACCCATGCAGATATATAAGCGGGGAAGTAAATGCTCCCATAATTCTTATTATATTAAATTACTCACTAAACTGTTTGTTGACTTGTTTCTGAGAGAACAGGTTTTGTGGGTGCACGGTTCTCTTAAAGTGCCTTTCGAGGATGGACAGGATGGTGGCCTCCTCCTCGGGCTTTCTAACGCGTCCTGCTAGCAACATGTATCCTGAACATGAGGGGGAAAAAAGTTGATTCGGGGTTTTGAATTAACGTAAGAAATAGGTTAAGGTTACACAGACATTTTTGACAAGCCTTACCGTCATCAGCCAAATGCTGAAGCCAGTCCTGAGAGGCTTCAGTCTGCTCTTCCAGCCTGTAGCGGTCTGCCCAGCGGAACAGGTCTCTGAGAGTAATGAAGCCATGTTTGCCTGCAAAGACAGAAGAGCCTCTGCGCATTGACTGCAGAGAGAGAGCAGGAATGGCATCTCTGGTCAGAATCAAGTTTAAAAAATATCATCATCATCATCATCATCATCATCGCTATTACTTCACATCATGGCTTTTCGTTCACATCAATTTTTCGGGCAGCTATTTTGGGACAAAATTGTCCCAAAGTACATTTTCGGTTGTGGTCCAAAAGACTCACAGTCCCAGAAACAACACGGCCGAAACCGGATGTTGTGATGATGCAAACAAAATGAGGGCAGCGCTTGCTTCTCAAGATGAGGAACCAACATATTTGCATTGTGTACGGATTTCAATAAATTTGAGAATGACACACGGAGAACAAGTAGTGAAACATGTACTCCCCAATAATGTAAAAAAAATTAATATGACAAAGATGGACATATGTCAAGGACAGGACAAAAATGATATAGTCAAACCTTGGTTTTTGAACATCTCTGTTCTCGACCAAATCGGTTTTCGACCAAAAACTTCGAGTTTTTGATGCCTCGGATGATGACCGAAAATCGGTTCTTGACCAAACTGAGCGCACTTGAATGCACCGCTTGACTCCTCTCGCCTTCCTTACGTGAAGAAGTGACGCTCCTTCGGGTAAACGAGGAAGTGACGCTTCCTCGTGTATCGTTCCATTGTGAGCAGACGTATTCAATCAAGATTTTTTTTTAAAAAGCATCGTGTTTATTGACAGCTATACAAATCGGACTGTTATTTCTGCATTGTGTATCACGGCACCAAATAAAGCAAGTGGAAGTCGTAAAGCTGTTGAAAGAGGAAAATAGTGCGCAAAACTATTGAATTTAAGCCTTGATAGCGAAATGTGAATCAAGTGTACGTGTTTATTGACAGCTATGCAAATCGGACTGTTATTTCTGCATTGTGTA